ATTAGTCAGCTCTCTTAACCCGTCGTTGGAAGCTCGGGGTTGAGCGATCAGGAAGGGTCGACACACGAGCGAAGTAAGAGGTGAGTAGAGTAGGAAGAGGGTGACCCGACGGGCTGGTGCCGAACGCACGGGATTGACATGGGCCACGACGGACTGTGGGCACGGGCAAATCCGACGGGTGCGGGAGGACTAAGCGGGGTGACAACTTCGTGGGTTCGTGTGTGACGACGGACTGTCCGCATCGGAGAGAGAGAGAGAGAGGAGAGAGTTGAGGTTGATAGACGCAGATTTGCTGTTTTCTCGTCTCTTCCCCCTCTTCACCTGTGTACATACATTTTGATTGTGGCTCCGGGCGGTTTGCCCGTTCTTATTTCCGTTTCGGCTTTCTAAAATCTGGGTCTGGGTTTTTGCTCACACTTGTCCTTGCTATGTCCGTCTCGATTGCATTATGTGTATGATTATCGAATGAATGGATGTATGAATGAACAAATCTTTGCCCACACCTGATCCAGCTGTAGAAGGGACGAGGATCCGGCACCGATAGCGATTTTGTCCTCGTTTTTGCTTATCTGGCGATGGGGGTTGTGATATGGTTGCATCTTGCATAATCCGAAGCAATTACACGATCCGAGGTCTGGCTCCGCGAACGCCGCGCGAGAACACGTGTAAACGCGATCCGAGTCGCGCCCTTACACGCATTCCCGTACGTCGATTCGCCCACCCAAAAGGATTTGCGGCGGAACTGTCATCCCGTACGAGCACGCCGAGGCGTCACTGAGTCTGCCTGTCCTGCACGTGCTCGTGCGCGGTGACGATATCCCGACCCGAGCTATCCCCTCGTTGATGATACCATGACGCGATCTTGGAGCTCAGACTCGTCCTACGACTCGGACTATTTCACCCCTATGATTAACGAGCTCATAAGGACGCGATACCCCTGTCACACGGAGAATCGGCTTTGTCCGCGGGAATTCCACTGCGCCACCTCTAGCGACCCTCGGTGCTCCGATTTCCCTTCTCCCGACCACACCTACTACTTCACCCACCCGAGATTTGTTGTCATCACCACCAGTTTCCCTCCTTTCCACCTTCTTCTCCCGTATCATCAACTTAGTGTTGTTCCGTGGCCGGCCATAGCCCCCTATTGGCCCAATACGTTTTGCGTGAATTGCCGACGTAGCGGCGAACAGAGAACTCCGGAATTTTGAAGGCCCAACCCATGTATGAGGCGGCCTGCGCCACGTGGTGGCCCCCGACGGCCCAACTTTTCGGGACCATCTCCACCACGGAGGGATTTTCCCGTAACCCGTCGCCCACAGTGTCCCGGCCCTTTCGGACTGTGAGACCCTTGTGCGCGCACCCCTCATTCGCCTAATTGCATTCATACCCTTAAGACTCCCCCACTTCCCCAAAAATCCTTGGCACACCCCTTTTCGCACTTTCAGACCCACATCCCACTCCGATCAGGAAGTCGTGCTGGGCGTGAGGTTGGTATCGGAGCCCGACACGTGGCTAGGGTCTTGGGATTGATAGCACGTTAATTAGGCGACCTGGCTAACCGTGGGCGACCTCGCCCTCGGAACGCGCATAGTCGCGACCCTATCGTCACCAGAAGCAGATCGGCTAACTGGCGAGCAGCCAATATGGCTGCCAATGTGCAAAATCCGGTTCCGCAACAAAATGCTAATCCACCCAATCAACCTGCCCCACATGCACGAGCTCCCAAGTCGCCATCAGATCTCTATCTATTTGATCCGGCGCACCATCTCGTAGGAGCATGGCTGGCTACGCTTAGAACACAATAGTACGATGATCATGAAGCACAGATCAACATTCCGGCCCGAATGGGAGGAGACGCCCATCATTGGTATTGTACCTATGTATGGGTGGATCTCCCGACCTTCGAACGAGATTTTATGAACCGATTTGATTATGTCCACCCTGAGCAAGCGCTGTACATGATCAAGAACCGAGTACAAAAACCGCTCGAATCCGTTGCGGAATATCGAAACCGGTTCTACAGGATGTTCGTAAAAACTGAGCGAGGTGAGCAAGTAGGGAGAGATCTGTTCATTGACGGACTCCGCAGCCGGACAATAAGGTCTAAGTTGCGAAAGCAGTTTTCCCCCATCACCCGTACGTTACAACCAATTATGGCTGCTGCGGAAGAAATGGAACGGAAGTTCGCGGCGAACTTCCTAGAAGGAGAAGACTCCCTAGAGACGGAGATTCAACAGAGCTTGCACGAGCAAGAGCAGAGCTGGCTGCTTTACAGAACAAATTTAAAAACATGGGGTTTGTATCAGGACCTTTCACCTATATGGAACAGATAGGGCCCAAATGAGTAATCCTAAGCGAGACTCCGAGCATCTCTGCTCTTATGATGCCCCCGCCCGTCAGGGCCTTACCCCTGCCGCCGGTTGAGGCTCGTGTCCGATCAAATGAATCGGCGGCCGTTTTCGAACTAACCAAAACCTTGATTAGTTTGATCGAAGAAAGCAAAAAGGAGCAACAAGAGCACAATGCTCGGCTGGAAGCCATGATGAGGAACATGCGACCCATTGCGGTGCATGCCCCTCCGATGCAGCAAGGATTAACCCCAGCCTCTGCTCTCGGGGGAGCTGCGAACAATCTGAATGTTTGCTACGCCTGTCATCAGCCCGGACATCCAGCCCGTGATTGCCCCCACCGACCCCCACAACAGCGGATCGGAGCCGCACCTATGGCTGCGGCTCCCATCGCTAACGGACCTAGACGAGTCGGAGCCCTGATGGAAGAAAGAGAGGGTGGGGGAAGTGCCCTGGCTACCTCGGAAGAGGCCGCCGAGCTAATCCCGCTAGACCAATATGTATCGCTAGGATATCCTGGGCTTGGAATGATCGGAACAATCCGACCAGCACCAGAACCGAAAGAGGTGGCGGAGTGGCGACCGTCCCTAGGAGAAATGGAGTCGGGGAGGACCCACCTTCGTCACAGGGGAGATCGATGTATTAAACATCATCCGAGCTTTGGACCATCGGATTCCCCTTCCGATTGGTCATCTGCTCTCGATCTCCGAGCAAGCCAACGAGCGAATGTTACAACATTGCAAAGGGAACTGAAAGCGATTCGCCCTTGCCCGAACCCCAAACGCGAAAGCCAAAAGCCCCACCCCCGAAGAAAACCCCGCAAGTACTTCGGATCCGATACGGATAGGTTTAATCCAGAAAGATGATCATTTCCTGCGGATTAAACCAATTCTGTGGAAATCCGCCGAGTGCGATATAGAAATTTGGGGAATTCCTTACAATGCTATTATAGATTCGTGAGCAGTTGTGTTGGCTATCTCACCGAGAGTGGTCGAAAGGGCAGGTAGGAAAAACGACCTGATCACGCTTTCTGAGAAAGATCAGCTCCTTTCGGCTAACGAAGAAAGAATTAAAACCGTGGGAAGAATGACCAATGTCGCTTTCCGATTGGGTAAGGTGCATGCGCTTGGGGATRTCGTAGTACTAGATGTCAATACGTACGACGTTCTCTTCGGGCTTCCCGCTCTTGTGGCCTTACGAGCAAACCTGGATTTCGAACGACGATCGATTGTCCTCCGAAATACAGGAGGAAAACCCTACGCTTTGCCCATGCGATTGACGCTTCGCACTACTATTAACGAGGTTCCGCGGGTTTCGCCGATGATGGCAGGGACTCTCCGCATGATCTCCTGGGAGAAATCCGCAGAGGGAGAGTCATCAACAAATGATGCGGAAAACAGTGACGAGGATGATTCGGAGATCTTGAAATTGGCTCGACAACGTGTTTGTTACCCAAAACAATAGCGAGAACGATGCAACTGACCAACCGAAAAATTCAAAGGACCAAGGCGATGATCTTGGGCGAGCCCCTCGTGTAGATTTCGAGGATGGTCGATTCTTTGGAACCCCCTCAAACTCTGTACGAAGGAATCGCCCCTCTCCTCGCCCGGTACAACGACAAGAAACATTACTGTGACATTACGGATCTACCCCTTACTAACCTCGGCTAAAGAAGTGAGATTGTTACGCTTGGGGGCGGAAGCAAGCTCTCTGGAACCCCCTGGGCGTTTTGAAGCAGAAACAGACGGGATGAAGATAAAGCTCGGAACTAAGGAAGTGCCATGGCAGGATGTTTGTGACGTGATTACCCCGGAAGGACACGTGGCAATCCGAGAAGAAGATGCCCAGATGATGGCCACGGTGTTCTCCTGGCGATCGGAACATTCATTCATCTCGGCGCCTCCACCCGACTTGACAAAACAGGCGAACACGAAACAAATTGACGTTCGGATCTGGGACCAACTTTTTGAACTGCACGTTCCACAATATGTGCCGAATGAAATCCACCGGGTAATTGCGGATATTCTAACGGAATATCAAGGAGCGATTAGTGTGTCAGACACTGACATTGGGTTGTCGTTAGTAATCCAACATGAAATTCAGACAGGAAATCACTCCCCGATTCATTGCAAACCTTATCGCTATTCCTTGATTGAACGCAAAAAGGCTCTCGAACGAATTCGGGAGTTCGAAGCCAGCGGTTGGATTGAACCCGCTACTGGACCTTGGTTTTTTCCCGTAGTGTTAGTACCGAAGAAGAACGGAGCAATTCGCATTTGCATTGATTATCGCAAGCTGAATGAAATCACGATCAAAGATGTGTATCCCCTCCCCCGAATTGATGATCTGTTGGATGCGATTGGATGCGCTAATTATTTCAGCAAGTTTGATATTCGGCATGGCTTCCATCATATTCTGGTAAGGGAAGAAGATCGGCCGAAAACGGCCTTTGTGTTGTTTGAAGGCACGTGGCAGTGGGTTCGGTGTTCGATGGGGATTTGCAATGCGCCTGCCACGTTTCAGCGAGCGATGAACATGACGTTCCAGAACTTCGTCAATAAGACACGGCTGATGCAAGGAATGATTAACTTTTGCGTGATCGTGTACATGGACGACATCCTGGTCTATTCGGAAACCTATCACGGGCACGCGCAACACATCGAATGGACATTGGATGCATTGAGAGACGCTGGGTTCAAGATTGCGCTTGAGAAGAGCGAATTTTTCCTCTCGGAAATTTTGTTCTTGGGCTATGTCGTGATACGCGGAGGATTGCGGCCAGACTCGAGAAAAGTTGCGGCGGTGAAGGAAGCTCCGGTTCCCACGTCACTGACGCAGGTTCGAGCCTTCTTGGGACTAGCGTCGTACTACCAGCGCTTCATCAAGGGCTTTGCCGAGATTGCACGACCACTAACGAACCTGCTACGGAAGGACCAGCCTCTCAGCTGGGACGCGGAGTGTCAGCAGGCCTTTGCAACCCTCAAGGACGCTCTGGCAACGACCCCTATTTTGATTCGACCGGACCTCTCGAAGCAGTTCATTCTCATCACGGACTGGCAACCGCAAGCTATGTCCGCTATTCTAGCGCAGAAGGGGAACGATGGTCGTGAACACGTCATCGAGTATGCGTCACGAACCGTACCGGACGAACGAAGAAACGACTCCGCACCTCAGGGTGAGTGTTATGCGGTAGTTTGGGGAATCCAACATTTCCATCCGTATCTCTACGGACAGAGTCCGCCTCGTAACGGACCACGAGCCTCTGCTGGCGCTGAAGAAGCTCACCAACTACACGGGCATGATTGGCCGTTGGGCGGTGCGACTACAAGAATACGACTTCGATATCGTCCATCGAAAGACAGAGCGACACGGCAACGCTGACGGGCTGACACGTCTGCATCGACCTGCCAAGGTACCAAAGGGGGAGGAAATTACACCGTGGAAAGAGTCGGACTTGACTAACGAGCCGAAGTACGGACAAGTGGCAGTTCTCCCACGTGGCAAGAAGCAAAACGGTGGCGATGGGTGATGGAGGTAACCCCACTACCCCTCTTTCTCCCCCTTCCTCCTCGTCTCTCCTCTCCCTGCCTGACAAATTTTGCTATTTTTGCGAAGCCATCTCCCGCGTCTATTCGGTCTCCATGCGTCCTAACGGGGTGGGATATGCGGATTGGATAGATTGCCGATAGTGTGTTGCACGGGCCCATAGCTCGTGCATCCAATACAGGAACGATAGTAAACCATGGTTGTGCCCCTTGTGCTGGACGGACAAAATTCCGACCGAGGCTCGCTTTTTGGATGCCACGTCAGAAGGATTGGAAAAAACCCGAAAGTTTAGAAGGGCCGAAGTATGGACGGATATTGCCTTAATTGCCACCCTAGTAGGTAACCCCCTCCAGGATTTCACCAAGGAAGATCGGAGGAGGGCCAACGAAAGGGCTCGGGATTATCGATGGATAGAGGGTAGATCAGAAAAACGAAAAACGGACGGCAGTGGGATTTGGATGGTGGTGCCGCATCCGTTCATGCGGTATGACTGAGTTAAGACAGCCCACGAGGAAACTGCGGCTCATTTTGCTGTACGAATCACGGAGTCCGCTATCGACAAAAATGAGTGGTACTGGTCCAATATCCGCGACGATGTGAAGTACATCGTCGCCAACTGTCAAGTCTGCGCCGCTGATAAAGCGCCGATTCAACCACCTAGGTCGATAGTGCCCACGGTTGTTGAACGACCATTTCAGAGAGTAAGCATGGACACTACCGACATAGTGGTGCCCCCTGGCCCTAATAGTTGCGAATATTCAGTCCTATTAGTATTTGTCGACCATTTCTCGAAATGGATTGAAGCGTATCCTTGTTGCACGCGGCAAGCCACGAAAATCGCACGATATGTCAACCGTTTCCTCGGGATGCATCAGGATACGGAAGAAATCCTGACCGACAACGGGGCTGAATTCAGGGGAGAAGTGTTAAGGAATCTGGTCCTACATGGCGTCGCCATACGGAACACTGCACCCCACATGTCACAATCCAATGGGTTGGTCGAAAACGCTAACCGGGTGATAAAGACAGCGTTTCGACGAAACATCGCGGCACGGGATCCGAGACCCTGACCCGATATCGTCGATCACATCCTGGCGGTCCATCGCGGAACGCCCCACGAATCGACGGGGCTGAGCCCCTTCCAATTAAGGACCAATAGTGTCGCTTGCGTTTCGATACCAAGCCTCCCGGATGAGTCTACATTGAACCGACGGCCCACCAGGGCTACGGCTCGGGACAAGGCCAAACGACACCTAGAGTAAATGGAACGGTCGCTGCCCAGGCTAAGCCCGAAAGCGACAGAAAATGATCGAACTAGCCAAGGGCCGACAGGTCCGGAGCTACGAGGCCCGAAATGGGAATGCGGGTTCGTGGCCCCAGTACAAATTGGGGGACGTGGTGCAGGTGAGGAAATGTGCTCACCAGGGTAAGCTAGCGCCACGATTCTTCGGGCGATATCGCGTGATCGAGCTCGGCCCCAACGGCGTGGACACCGTGCGTCTCACCCCTGAAGTCTCTGGCAGTCGATCGGCTCGTCCGATCACACGCCACGTGTCCTATCTTCGCCTCCTTCCCTCTGCTCCGTCTCCCTCTCCCTCGATCTCTCTTTCTGAGGAAGCCAACGACGACGGCTTGGACTCTCCGCCATCTCCCTCCCTTTCTTGCTCCCTCTCTGCCACCCCGTCACCCCCGCCATCGCCATGAGTTTCGCCATCGAACGAGCTTTCAGCGATCAGTTGCTGATGCCACGGGGAGAGATCTCAGCCATCCGCCAAGTGCATCATCCGCGGATCAGCCCCAACTTCATGCGCCTTGCGCAGTTCTTCTGCACTGCGGGTGTATATGGCGCGGCAGAGTTCCGATTCACGAGCAATCCCCAGGTAGTGGTGTTGACCGAGGCAACGACGTTCCAACAGCGAGCGGCCCCGGGAATCAGCCACGTGTCTACCGTGGTAGTCTTCAGCGGCGACATCACCGCCTTCGATCCGGCGCGGCAAGCCGCCATCAAAAGCACCTTGTACTGGTGGGGTCGCGATCTGGCTACTGATTGGGATCGATGACTCACAAGCCACGGTGACGAGTGTTATCCTGTCGACGACATCGAAGTCAACACGCTGCGCACGACGCTACGCGAGCCACCTGTCGTCCTCCCAGAACTTGCTCCCTTCTAGCTGCGCAGATGAGCCGTGCGCCGGTCTCGACGTTCTCTCCTCCCTCTCTCTTCCCCATCTTCTGGCAGTCCTCTCACTACCCTCGTCTCTCCTTTCGTCTAGAGCCGCTGACAGTACCCATCGTTGATCCGGACCGTTGGAGGCTGTGGCGTGCAGAATTCGTCGAGCTCTCGTTTTGCCTGCTACGAGTGGATCTGAACTGGACGTGGGAAGGCGATCAGAGGCCCGCGTCGGAGATTGTGGAGTTGCTCGTCATTCGGGGCGTGGAGGACCAATGTGGCGGGAAAACTTCTKGGATTCGTCTTTGGAGCAGTGGATCGGGGAAACTGATCACAGATCATGCGCGAACTTACGATCGTGATCGCGCGATTGGCCGGCAAACTCCCCCTCGATATCGTCTCTCAGAGCGACGAAGAACCCGTGCCACATACCCTCTCAAGGACTCTCGCCCCGAGCCTTCAGTGGTCGGCTTGTATCGAGGAGCGCTGGGCGGACGACCGTTTTCCCTCCCGTAGTGAGTATCTGGACGTCCACAGTCTGACTAATCCCCGCTTCTTTCGGCAACCAACAACGTTCGAGTGGGAGAAGAAGAGGAGGCCGAAGAGGAATCGGAAGGAGAATTGAGGAGAGAGGCCGGGGAAGCAGCGGCCCGATTGGCCGAGGACAAGGAAGAACAGCGCGAAGCAGAAAAAGAGTCGGCGGAAGCTGAAGAAGAAGAAGAAGAAGAAGAAGAGGAGGAGACTTCGGAGGAAGAGGAAGAGGCCTATAGCGAGTACAGCGAGGGCGAGCAAAGTGAGGAGGAGGACGAAGACGACGAAGAAGTGGAAAGCGGGGACGACCAGGAGCCAACACACGACGAGCTCGAGTGGGTGCCAGGACCGGTTCGGCGAGAGGAGAACCCGAAGGCTGCTGCGCAGCGCAAGAAAGAGATCGCGGAGGGAAAGCGGCTGGCGATTGATCCCGTACCGAACGATCCTTTCAAGGATCCCGAGCCGCCCAAGCCGGAACATGGAGACCTTGCTGCCACGACCTCGGGAGCCGCGACGACAAGGCGGCGATCCCGATCCCGATCCACGTCCCCCTCCGCCTCCGCCCGTCCCCCAATTCGTCAACGTGTCAATGAGGGGCTTAGCCCTTCGTCCCTGATCCATGTACCACCATCCCCTTAGCTATCTCTCTTTCAATCAGTATTTCCATCGCGTCGTCTACCCCCGTAATCCCTTCCCCATCGCCACCTTCCGACATTTCTACTCCGCCCGACTAGAACTGACTGTCCACCCCCACCCTTCCCTTCGGTGTGCTGTCCCCGACTACTCCCTCCACGTTCTGCTCCTTAGCGCCGCGTGGCGAGGCCGTAACCATATAGAGGTTTACTGCATCGTTATAGGGACCTTCCCCGCGTGCGAGAACCATGATCGGTTCCGCACACCCCTCATTGTAACCGCGCAGAAAATCGCGCGTTACAGAAAGTGGTTCGTCACATATGTGACGCCCAGGGGGTTCCAATATTAGCAAGCTCCTGCTTGCTTGTTGACACGTGTCGATTTTTCTAATTGATTGACACGTGGAACAATTCTCTGTATGCCACTTACCGTTCGATTGTATGTGGACGTCATCCAACGTGGCAACTCTGCTCTTCTACTAGTTCCTCAGATTGGGCTCTTCGACGATCCACTGACGGGATCTTTCTTGTGCCATCGCCGCGACACGCGTCCATTACCGCTGCATCAGTAATTAACCGGAAGGGGGAAGGGAAGGCGATACTCGTATGAGGGAGGGCGGGGCGGTTCCATCGTAAGCTCAGGTATGAAGCGCCCGATCGCAGTGAGGTCGTAGGGAAGTTCTTGAAAACGGACAATGCGATGGAAGCGGGGGAATCTCTGGCCGCTGCGGGGAAGGGAAGCGAGGTAGTCTGGGTAAAGGGATACGAGGGTTCCAATGGCTCTCGGAATTTCGGACTCTCCTTCTGGAATTCGTGCTTTTTGCTTTTTCGCATTAGATAGGAATTTAAGAATTCAGTAATTAGGATTTTTCCTGCCGTGCGGCGCCTTTTGTTGACGCGCTTCTTCATGCGGCTGCAACGGTACTCTGATTAGTGGGCGCCCTTAATCGTATGTGTAACTGTAATTTTGGGCGGGCGCCATTGTAACTGTATCTCTCTTCTTGCACTTCGTCACTCCCGCCCTCCCTCTCTTTCTTTTGCTGAAATTTTGTAAGCCGCGGCTTGCATGCGCGGATCGATGCGTGGAGAAGGGTTACGTACCCCATGTTGCGGCCGATCATGCAGAACGCAGGCGTTCCCTCTCTAAACCTCACTCTAAGTCTTGGTAATTCCGTGTTCTTCGCGCATGCATGCACGCTATAAATTTCGGTTGCGCGATTAGTCAGCTCTCTTAACCCGTCGTTGGAAGCTCGGGGTT